CCCCAAAACCCCAAAACCCCAAAACCCCGTGGTGTTATGATATAATTGTTATTATTTTAAATGGAAAAGAAGGCAGATATTTTTCTGACTAGAGAGAATTGAAGAGGATTTCCTGAGAAGATAGAGAAAGTCACACTAGAAAATAATGTACTGCTGAAGGAGAATAATCAAGCTAGTAGATTAAGATCGCAGAGTGGTGAATTTCCTATATTAGGAATTCTCAGGACTGTCGTAGATTATTCAACATTCACCGATCCTGAAATAACAATCGTAAAGGCTTGATATTTCACCTTGTAGAAAACTTGTTATCAAGATAGAAACATGGCAAAGCTTAGACACTCAAGAGAGACTACAGGAAGTATTTGAATTTGTTCAGATGGCTCTCGTAAAAGAAGACAATTCGAGCTAGGTTTATGAGGTGGTAGTTTTACAAAATCTGGGATTAGGGAATCAACTAGAGTTTATAATTGCATCTATTCATAATTTCTAAACCTCATGCTATTAAATCATCTTTAACCAAAAGACATTAACTATAGAAGCCATGAGATTCAAATCTTACTTCACTCTAAGAGTGACTCAGCAGCATGATTATTACATGACAAATATTAAATCTGTGATGCCAGATATATTGAGAATCTTGCCGAGAACACTTAGACAATGAGAATTCAAAGGATGAAAGTTGTCTAAATAGACAGACACTATCCATCATAGCCAACTCCCATAATCTGAAAACTCTTTCTTTTATTCAGTGATTATTCGAGCCTCTTGAATTTAGCATTGAAAAGAAGGAGCATTATTACTGGAAGCTCCTTACTAGAGGACCATATATGATGGAGAATTTTGAATTAATTCGATGCCCTGACTCAGCCTCAGATGGACCTGATAATTCTTGGCCAAGGATAGGCTCAATTCTAGGCCTCATTAGTTGGATATCCTCATCTCAGAGTTTGACTAAATTATCCTTACATCACTGAATGCCATTAGATTGCTGCAAAAAATTGGTTCAAAAATATGACATTTTTGGAATAGATATTGATATATTCTGCTCTATTACTCAAACCCATTCGAAATATACCTACGAAGGAAATGCTTTCTCCTAAGATATATTTACACTCAACTCATTTTTCTTCTCCATCAAATTATTTTCTGCCTAAGTTTTAGAGTCTCCGCACAAATCAGGTTTTTCCTTCTTTGTAATTTATACTGGAAATATTGAAGCATGGGTTTTGACTGTGCTTGGGTTGGGGTAGGGGCTGCAGGAAGCTGATAGAGGTGGAAAGAAGGAATAGGTGGGGTGAAGGAGAAGGGGATGAGCGGTTGGAGGGAGGTGGGGATGGAGAGGTAGGGAGTATGGATATGATGGATTGGGGAAATAGGTTTTGTAGGGATAAATGGTTTTAAGCACTGTTTAGGGGTGTCTTTAAGTGATTTAAAGGATGTTAATTTAGATAGGAGGTATGCTGGGGTTTTGGGGTTTTGGGGTTTTGGGGTTTTGGGG